AATTTGTGGGCTGCTCCTTTGAGACCGAATATTCTGTCCCTCAGCAAACTTCCACCCACGATTTGTAACACCCACTCGTATTCAATTTTGTGACAGCTGTTCAGTGGTCACTTTCTGGCCCTTCTCACTTCCTTTTATTTCTCCTGGTTGCTGGACATGTTCATTTTGGGAGCACCTGTTCACCATCCAAGTAGAGATGTGAGTGGAAATTGGGGTTGCAGATTCAGATGTGGGGGTCATCTGTCAGTCCCCGGAAGGTTAGAGGCGTTAGCAGTTGAGGCCCCCCCCCACCCTGCCCAGGGCCCATGTTCCCTGTTGGTCACAGGGCGTCACCGGGTTTGGACTCTGCACACGTGTGCCAGAGATTAAACCCCGATGCTGGGTGGGTCACTAGGGGACCACGGCCCCCCCGGAAGCTGGGACTGGGGGCCCGTTTCATGGGAAGCTGGGTTCTACTCCAGTCAAAGCCCTTACTACTTAACCTCGCATTTGAGGCCCTTCCTGCACCCCAGCAGCCTCACACTTCTGCCTGTGTGCTGGCCTCTCTCTGCCTCAGCTTGGAGAACTCCTGCTCATCCTTCAGAGTCTTCTCTAAAGTCCCACCCCTCCTCCCCCCAACAAGCTCACTCGTTTAGGAAATAGTAGTTCCTTTTTCTCCCCTAAATATTTTATTTTTATGTAATCTCTACACCTAACGTGGGGCTCGAACTTACCACCCCAAGATCAAGAGTCGCATGCTCCACCGGCTGAGCTAGCCAAGAAATAACGGTCTTGAAGCTCTCGTCTGTGCTAGGCACTGAGGCTGGTGAACAAACTCGCTTCGTGCCCTCTGGGAGCCCACCGTCTCCTGGTGGAGACAGGTACTCATAATCACACGGATAGGAGTATCCTCACATCAGCGACCGCAACAAAGAAAGACAAGCCAAGTGGCTCTTGTGCTCCAAGGCCAGAGCAGGGGTTTTGCACCAGCCTGGCCTGGCCCAGGTACTTCCGGAGGGTTTCCCCGAGGAACTGCCGGCTGGGGTAACGTTAACTGCATTGGTGGGGCTCCCCGTGCAAGGCCTGAGGTGAGGCTGGAGGACAGAGCACGGAAGGGGATCCCACGGGAGCTGTAGCTGGAAAGCGGGGCAGGGGCCTCTCAGGCCAAGGGCAAGAGGCTGGGTTTTCTCCTGCTGGCCCTGGACAGGCTGCAAAGGCTCCTGAGCGGAGGGTGACTTCTGGAGCCAGTGGAGGCGAGACTGCAGTAAAGACCCTCTGGCATTAGCAGTTGCTAATGGCTCCCACGGCAGCCAGAGGGGCAGTGAGGGCCACACTGCATTTTCAGATCAGCCAGATGCCCCAAAGTGCAGGAGACACAACTTCATTCTGTGTTTCTCTTAGAAACTCCACTCCAGGGACGCCTGGGTGGCTCAGGCTGTTAAGCGTCTGCCTTTGACTCAGGTCACGACCCCGGAGTCCCGGGATCGAGCCCCACATCGGGCTCCCTGCTCAGTGGGGAGCCTGCTTCTCCCTCTGCCCTTCATCCTGCTTGTGCTCTTGCTCACTTGCTCTCTTTCCCTCAAATAAGTGAATAAAATCTTAAAAAAAAAAAGAGAAAAGAAACTCCACTGCAGCAATGGTGGCAGGAATAGCTTCTCAGTTGGGCTGGGGATCCTCCGGAGCACTTAGCTGTGCCGGCATCCACATGGTTCCTGGTTGGCAGGCCACCTGGCAATGGCTTTGTCCTACTGTCCTGGCCAGAAGGCCTCTGAACCCAGTGCTGCTCCTGGCTGCAGCCCCGCCTTCTCTCTCTGCTCAGGCCACGGGGTGGGGGAG